TATATAGCGATTTGTACCCTTCTTTACACCGACACAAACAAGCGACTCGAGTCATTCTATCCTCTTATCCTTTATCTGCGCTGATGTTTTCAGTGATAATGACAGTCAGACAGACAGTCAGTGTGACAATTTGCAGTTGAAGGTAGAACCCAATCAACGATGACAGATGGCCACAACATTATCTTACGGCATGAGCAGTCTAATTGTGCCACAATTATGCTCTGAGCAATACTGTAACATGTATAATGGCAATCTAAATATATTGTACGCAATAAAATGAATCGCATTACTCTTGTGTGTCGATTTCACGCGCACATTTAATTAAATATTAATTCACACCAAATAATTGTGTTGATGTTTAGTGGAATGAGTCGCTTCCACCTGACTAGTGGTGCCGCGCCGTGGGAACAGAGGTCGCCACTTGTCTATGCTGAATAAACAGGACTATTTAATATTTAATGGATTTAAATGTATGCTTAATGTTTGTGACCAGCTAGAAATGTTTGTTGAATGTTTTCGACTTATAGTGTGTCACGGTAGTGCCGATTTCCCTCACCTTGATTTAAAAACATTGCATATCTTCTTAATTTATATTTTTTCACCTTAATTTCTACAAAAACGCAGCTCAACGACTGGAGAAAAACCTTTTACAATTTAAAAATTCTACCTTAGAGATTAAATTCAGTAAATTTTAAGTCAAGCTGTCTTGAGTATTAAATTATATACAAATAAAAAAAGGTTCGATTATTTAATCTTTTAATATTAAAATAAACTTTAATTCTTAATAAGCTAATTCTTGCCCATTTAAATAACCTGGGACTGTCCGAGAAAGTATAGAAGCATGGTGTCAGTGGTGGGAATGGCCGGCGTGACATTTCGGCGAGCAAACACAATGCGCACATTTCACTGCGCGCTCAGTTCGTTAATGAGTTGTGCTAATTCAATTTGTGTCCGCTCGCGCGCGCAAATTGTGCGTTCATCGCGAAATTATCGCGCCTTTTGTGTGCGACGTAAACGCGTCATTGTCGTGCTAATTGCTTAACAAAGATGTGCAAATATTTGTTCGCCGCCACTGATTTATTTTCCTTTCCCAGACGCGAACAAAATACGTCGCGTTGAATATATTGAATATCAATAGCATCTCATATGTCTTCAAATAATGCGAATAAACATGGGCGTGTATTTAATATGATTTGATTTCTTGAGAAAAGGCAAAAGTAATGGCCGGACCCCGCGGCCGTAGCGCCCTTTGCCCAGTGAAGTGGAGACCACCGCCGGCCATTGTTCCCGCATCGAGCGATCTGGAAACTAAATAAAAACAGGGGGTCGCTTTAATTAGACAAAAGTTAAACAGTATCAATGAGCGGGCGGAGTGAGCGCTACAGCGAGTGTACCAGTGCTGGCTATAGATCTTATCAGTTGTGGTTGG